AGTTGGCAAGCCCTGCTGGTGAGTGGCAGCCATAGGTAAAGTTAGTCTTAGGGCTTTGCAGGTCGTTTCAACAGCTACCAGGTAAAACTGGTCTTAGGGCCACAGCAGACTGGTTCAGCAGCTGGGTTTGCAGAAGATTCTTGGAGCAGATGCATGTGTCCCTCGACTCTGATTTAATTTGGGTATGACAAGAATGACCCAATTTTTATGACCAACTTTCACACTGACAAGCCTGGGGTAGTTTGCTATAGCTCTCTCTGCCCAAGGATGGCCCTCNAGTTGGCAAGCCCTGCTGGTGAGTGGCAGCCATAGGTAAAGTTAGTCTTAGGGCTTTGCAGATCGTTTCAACAGCTACCAGGTAAAACTGGTCTTAGAGCCACAGCAGACTGGTTCAGCAGCTGGGTTTGCAGAAGATTCTTGGGCAGATGTATGTGTCCCTCGACTCTGATTTAATTTGGGTATGACAAGAATGACCCAATTTTTATGACCATCTTTCACACTGACAAGCCTGGGGTAGTTTGCTATAGCTCTCTCTGCCCAAGGATGGCCCTCAAGGTAGGGACCTTGTCATATTCATAGGGCTGAACAGAGAGACCACAGGAGTCGCAGTTTAAATGGATCAAATTCTACATGGAAAAAGAATCCCCAGTCCCAAAAAGAGTCTCTACCCCCCAGTCTTCCATGTGATCCACCTGCTCACCATCTGGCTTTGTCACACCCACGGTAGCCCTACTGGAGCAGCATAACAGGAGCCCAGGAGCAGAGCACAGGTCCTAGGGGATACAGCCTGGCTCTGGTTCTTAAATGAACCATTTCTTTGGCATTTCCTACACTTGGGACAATTAAAACCTTACCATGGTCAATTCGCTGATGCCAATTTACCTAATTTGTTTTCAATACCTGGAAAAGCACTTACAATCCCTAATGAAACGTCATTTTTTTAAAGGACTGCTTCAGTTCTTTGACAGTGGTACTTGGAGATACTTGTAAACATATATTGTGAAGCCTTTGGGGTGGTGGCCTCACTCAATTGAGCCAGGGAATAAATTAACAGCCAGGGAATAAACATTCTCAGTTATATATTGTCACTTTCCAGAAAGTCTAGGCAGGCCTGGAGATGAGGCTTTGTCTGGTCAACCTCCCCCTACCACTAAGCATATTCCTCAGGACTGGGCAATGGCCTCTCTTCCATCCCCTCTATAGAGCATAATATTTTCTCCTCTTCTGGCATGAGTTTCTCCACAGTCCTACCCTGTTCAAACACACAGTTCCTGCAAAGGTGTGTTCTTTCCTTGTGCAGCAAAATTCATGAGCTTGAAGGTGATGAGTGTTTGCTTGCTATTTGTATATGTCTTTTTTATCTCTNATTTACCTAATTTGTTTTCAATACCTGGAAAAGCACTTACAATCCCTAATGAAACGTCATTTTTTTAAAGGACTGCTTCAGTTCTTTGACAGTGGTACTTGGAGATACTTGTAAACATATATTGTGAAGCCTTTGGGGTGGTGGCCTCACTCAATTGAGCCAGGGAATAAATTAACAGCCAGGGAATAAACATTCTCAGTTATATATTTTCACTTTCCAGAAAGTCTAGGCAGGCCTGGAGATGCGGCTTTGTCTGGTCAACCTCCCCCTACCACTAAGCATATTCCTCAGGACTGGGCAATGGCCTCTCTTCCATCCCCTCTATAGAGCATAATATTTTCTCCTCTTCTGGCATGAGTTTCTCCACAGTCCTACCCTGTTCAAACACACAGTTCCTGCAAAGGTGTGTTCTTTCCTTGTGCAGCAAAATTCATGAGCTTGAAGGTGATGAGTGTTTGCTTGCTATTTGTATATGTCTTTTTTATCTCTGTACCTTGATATAGCTGTCATTCTAGAAGCACCTTGCACACAGTATGAGCAGAGCACCATTTGCCAGAGTGTTCTTAATAAGTGCATATGTAGCCCAGGACGTGGGCTTCCCTTTGATAGCGGAGTTTACAATTCCTCCAGTTCAATTTTTTCACAATAGCTACAACCATATCATAAATTCTACTGAGTTGGAACTTAACGTGGAATTGTTCCTTTTCAGCCACACTCTATTCATAACATTCTGGGTTTTTATGATCTTAAGAACATAGAAGTTGAATTCGAAAATGGATAATTCATGAGCTTGAAGGTGATGAGTGTTTGCTTGCTATTTGTATATGTCTTTTTTATCTCTTTACCTTGATATAGCTGTCATTCTAGAAGCACCTTGCACACAGTATGAGCAGAGCACCATTTGCCAGAGTGTTCTTAATAAGTGCATATGAAGCCCAGGACGTGGGCTTCCCTTTGATAGCGGAGTTTACAATTCCTCCAGTTCAATTTTTTCACAATAGCTACAACCATATCATGAATTCTACTGAGTTGGAACTTAACGTGGAATTGTTCCTTTTTAGCCACACTCTATTCATAACATTCTGGGTTTTTATGATCTTAAGAACATAGAAGTTGAATTCGAAAATGGATTTTTTTTTTTAATATGGGCTAAATTGCCCTTAAATTCCTGATTTTAAAAATTGTGTGGAAGGAGTATTTTGATTATGCTTTTGGTGGGCTATAAACTTCCTTCAAAAGCAGATTTCAGCAATGCTGTTATATAATGCATTGTCATGTTTTGTTTTAAAGATTATCTGTTATAGAAAGAAAGACTATCGAAGTCTAGCACCGTCCTACAGGATAAAAGAATGAGTGAAAACATAATGGAATAAACAAAAGCACAACTTTGGTTAAGTTTGTCCAATCTCTTTTCAGTACTATGCAGGATGACATTTTTATCCTCCATGAGCAAGAGTATGACAGCTTGCTTGAATCTGTCTTCAAAACTGAATTCTTAAGCCTCTTAGCAAAGCGTTATGAGGAAAAAACGCAGAAGCAACTACCTCTGAAATTCAGCAATACGTAAGTACACATCTGAGCCCAAACTTCTGAGTAAAACAAAAGGGGCCTTGTTCTCAGCCTAGGGGTTCAGGCTGAGAGGAGGGGAAGTCTGCGGGGCAGGGAGGAGGTCTGCCTGGGGTCCAACTGTCTCCAGTGGCTTCGGTCAATCCCAGCCCTGGATGCCACAACTTCTCCAGTGGAATCTTAGAGCCTGCAGAAGACAGTCTGGATGGTGGGGTTCAGGCTGAGAGGAGGGGAAGTCTGCGGGGCAGGGAGGAGGTCTGCCTGGGGTCCAAGTCTCCAGTGGCTTCGGTCAATCCCAGCCCTGGATGCCACAACTTCTCCAGTAGAATCTTAGAGCCTGCAGAAGACAGTCTGGATGGATGTCACAGACTTCAGAAAAGTCACTTTTGCATTTCTGTGAAACAATAACTTCATAGAATGGTGTATTTTATCATTTAGGCAAAAATCACCAAAGTGAGGTAGGGAAAGGCCGATCCTTATGTATCGCCAGTGAATATGTATTTTATTTAGCAGAGCAGACATCAGTAGAGTCAGGCTGTTGAAAGCGGATGAAAGTGATTGGTGTGGGGACTTAAATTCTTCAGATCAATGCATAGTAAAGCCTACTGTTGGGGCACTTGGGGACTTGGGGCTGTGGATGGTCAATGTCCTGTGTCTCAGCTCACCTTTATTTGTTTGGCAACATGGTCTAATGGACCAGACACTGCATACTTTTAAGCTTCTTATCTCCTATTTGCTGAGGGAGACTTATGTAGCTTTTCTTTTTAAATTTCCCTGTCTATAAAAGGGAAATATCCTCTATCTCTTCCTACTCAAAAGAATGAGGCCAAGACAAAGCCCTGATATCATGATGAGGGAAACTTAAAGTAAGCAGCTCATTAAAGTTATGATTTTTCTTTCTTACATGGGCAAATATAAGTTTAAAAAGCAGAATACGGATTGCACGATATTGGCATATCTGCGGCATGGAAGAATGAAAACTGGCTGGAGAGTTTGGGAATTGTGGGAAGGCCACCCTTCTGCTTGGACTTTGGTGGCTGGGGTTTGGCTTCTTCCGTACCTGCGTGGGGAGTGAGGGTGAAGGAATAGAACACAATCAGATAGTAACCACGTGCTGTACTAAGGAGTCTTCAGCAGTACTGAGTCTGCCTGCCATCTCTCAGTCCTCCACAAACACAAATCCTGGGAAAGCAGCAAGAAGCACAATGACACAGCACACAGGTGTGGCCTGGGAATTGTCCCCTTCCTCTGTCCTCCAAGCAGTCACCCCTGAGACCACCTGACAAAGTGACATTGGCACATTAATGGGGAACCTCCCTCACCAGCTGGTTTCTCAGTCCCTGGGCCCCTGGTGCTTCTGCCTCTGGTGCAGTGGTCAGCTGGCAGCCGTGCCGCACCCGTGGAGGCTGTGTCCACCCTCGGGTCTTTGTGTCTGGTTTAGGTTGTCTGGTCTTGCCTCATGTTAACAGCACATTTTCCCAGCAGCAGAATCCCGTGCTGGGGTCGGTGAGCACCGTTTTCTCACTGGTTTATTCAACTTGTTCATTCCAACAAATGTGTTACAGGCTTGAACTGAAGTTGAAAAAGGAGAACTGGGGTCCCTGGAGCGCAGGGGGCTCCCGGCAAGTGCAGTTCCACCAGGGCTTCGGTGACCTGGCCATCCTCAAACCGAGTAACAAAGTGCTGCAGGTCAGCATCGGACCCGGGCTGCCCAAGAACTCCCGTAAGTGCTCTGTGGGCCCCGCCAGGCACCGCTGCCCCACACCAGACTTCTGTCCAAATGCTGACTGCATACACACGGATCTGGGGGCTTAATATCTGTACATCTACTGCTTCCTGTGGCTTGGGTTTCCCTCAGAATGGAACATTTCAGACTAAAGCAACATCCAGGAAAATGGGCAAGCTAAGACTTTCTGAATGATTTCGTTCTTATGTATAGTACACCTGGCATTACAATACGAATTGTGTTTAAAACAAATCAAAGTTTGTTGGCTTCAAATTTCCCGGCCCTTTCCTGTCAGATCTTGTCAACAATGCACACACTATCGTCTATGCCAATCTTAAAGAAATTGACCACATTTACCAACTCCCTATGTGTTTTCATTTATATTACTACAAATCAGATCTGAGATCTCTGCCTCCACTTCAGCGTGCTTCATTAGAAGATGCACAGGCACGAACACTCACACACTCTACCTCATGCCCCAGTCTAACTCCTTCACTGGCTTTTGATTCTTTTTCTTTTTATAATTGATATTTATAAACTTATATTTGTAATGAACAGCATAGAATAATCGTATATGCTGTGTATTCATATAATGTAAATATCTTCCTAAAATTTAGCCCAGGTGTGTGATCAATGAAGAGTATGTCATGTATAAAACAGGCCTTTATCAAATTCACCTACAAACATATGCATTGGCATGTACTCTAACATATTCATACAATACAGATAAACACTGTCATACATTTAGATGTGTAGAGCCACATGGAAAATGTGGGTGTGTCTGTGTATTAGTTGGTATTTGCAGAAAACAGCACATTTCTGTGAAAATTTTTTAAGAGATCCAAATAAATAAATAAACTGAAATAAAAGGATGTGGGCAGGGTTAAAGGAATAAAGTAAGGATGCAGGGAGAAGGAACAGCGGGAAACCATTATTACCTCTAAGTCTGATGCAGCAGAGAGAGGAAAGAGTCGAGCCGAAGGATGCACACAGAAAGTAGGTGGGAGAAATGCCCCAACCCTCCCGCCTCTGGAGCTCCAGTCTCCTGTCAGTGCTTCCCACTGGTGTGCAGAGGCCTCGCAGCCCACAGGACTCAGACCCCAGGGCACAGAGCAGGACAAAGAAGGGCTGCGAGTGGGCAGCGGGATGTGCGTGAGCGTGTGTGAGCCCTGTTCAGTAGACCCCAGGGAGGAACGCTGTCTCCTTTGGTGCCTTGTGACAGCTTCATTGGGTGGGGGGAGGGAAGGGGAGGGGCAGGGGAGGGTCTGGGTGCTGAGAGGGAAACCCCCACCAGGCCACTTCCCCTTGCCCCAGGGCCCACGTGGTTGGTTCTCCTGCAGCCTTGGCAATTCCTACCCTTCTCTTATTCTTCAGCTCTTCTCTTTACAAGAAATTCCCTCCGCACCCCTCTCCCCACTGCTTTGATCCTACTCTCTTTCATGTCTCACTTGACATCTTACTTACCATTTTCCCTCCCACCACAGATGTCTCTGCAGAGATCTCTTCTGGCCACCCATGGCCCTGCCATCCCAGCCCTCACTCTGGCCCACGGTGATGTTCCGTTTAGTGCCACCGTGTATTCTAATTCCCTCTTGTCTGTGTCAAGAGTACAAGTCTGCTTCTACCCTTCATGGTCTCCGTGTTTAACCAGAAGACTGTAGAACACAAACCCTTGCAGGAATGGCCTTTAACACAGGCAGGTGTGTGGTTAGTGCTGGAGTGTGCTTCGTGCTGTGATGACGGCATGCGGCGCTCACATGTTGAGCGTCTGTGCACTGTTTAGAGCATGAGTGCAAACACCAAAATGTTCCATCTGTGTCTACTGAAAGTCTGCAAAAATAGAAGCACCTCTGTAAGATTTTCAGTTTCTCTTTGAGAAACCACTGTCTCTAATGTTGCAAAACTGTACTTCTATAAACATACCCTCCGGCCCTCCCATCCAATGGCAACCACTATAGCACTTATATCAAAGTCTCCTGCACATATGACTGACACCTGGATTCTAAACTTCTCAAAGTTTTCCATAAGCAAAGAACTATCAGGAGCCAAAAAACCAAGCAGTAGTACTGATTTTACCTTCGTCTTGCTTGTTTACTTCAGGCCCTACCAGAAGGAACACCACCCAAAATAGAAGTTATTCCAGTGGGACTCAAAATGCCAACTACCCAATGAGAGCCGCTCCCCCTCCCCCAGGTAAGCCAAGCATGCACCGTAGCTGGGGGCCACTAAATCTGGATTCATACCATGTAAAGTATCTTTGGGAAGAAACCCATTAGCAAACAAATGCACACGTATTAGCCAGCCGTGGGCCACTGCAGTGCCAGAGGTACTCCTACCAACACAGTTGCCCTACTCGTGACCCCAAAAGTCAGGAAAAGTAAGAATGAGACTGAACTGTGTCTGAGTTAACAATCTGGATTTCATTATCTTGCAATATTACTCCCAAGGCTCCCACCATCAGGAGCGGAGAAAGAAGTTCCTTGTCCATGACAATGTTGTCAGTTTTAAGACAAAGGATGCTACCTTTTGGGAAATAAAAAGGTTGTTGGGTATAACCCCACCACCACTACCCAGCTCCAGTCAATACCAGTACAATATTTTGCAACTAGGTAATAGCTTAATAAATGAGTGGAAAAAGTTATTCTTAGATAGGAGTTAGGAGGTCTGCTCCAAAAAATAAAGTAATATCTGAATTACAAAATTGTTGCAAAAGCTTTTTTGGCCCTTATGTTTCATATTTCTCATTTTGTTAATAATAAAAATATAATTTACAGATCAATAAACCCCATACCCAAACACATTTAGCACTTTTTGCCCCTGATAATCTGTTTAGTGTTTGAAGAGCACTTTTGAAATTCACAAAATATTTATACATCACTCAAAAAACCCAGTTCATAAAGATCTGCTCCCAGAGTTTGGTATTAATTGTTTAGTATTCTAAGTCTGAAAGAATCATTTTGGGACCACACCTGATTCAAATCATACTAGATGAGAGAATCCTATTTGTATCCATGTCCAAGATAAGAAGTAAAAAGCATTTCTTAAGTCTCCTGCTCTGGAATCTCACAGCTGGATTCTAAATATGGACATTGGTGCCTAGCAGTGAGAAACTAATTCCCATCTCTTTTGGAGTCCCCATCCTGCCTGGACCAGCTACCTCTTCTCCTTCTGTCTTTATCCTTGAAGAAAATCCAAGTGCAAAGGAACCTCAGAGGAGCAGCATGGTATTTGTATCACTACATATGCGCTGGCCTCGGTGCAGAAGTCTGGCCAGGACCACCTTTGCCTCAGCTAGGTTGGCAAAAGTATCCTCAGACCAAATCAGGCCATAGAGTAATTGAGCATGGCTCCCAACCTCTCTAAGTGACAGTTTTTTCATCAATAAAATGAGGCAATCGGACCTGAATCCATTCAATCAGCACTTCTCAAACTATCTATGGTGAAGGACCACAGTTTTTTGTTTGAGTATTTTTTTAAATTTCTAGTCTATCATAAAGCATACTTTTGTAACATATAATAAAAATTAATCAGTAGAAGAATGGAATTTTAAAAACATGTAAAATATAAGTCAAAATGTATTACTATCAGAGTCAACAGACATGAAATATATCTGTCAAACTACTGTGAGTATCTCTGATGCTTGCTCTTAATTTCTGAGCTCATCGTGGGCGAGTGGGCACACTTCAAGTATCACTTCCCCAGGGCACGTCTCACTCTGATGTGCCCTTCGCCTTTCCTTGGCAGCCTTGGCAGCAAGTGGGGTCTCACTGCCCTCCCCTGGTCAGGCACCGTGAGCCCATACACATTTCACTCACCAGGGGAATCAGGGTAAGGTGGAGAGAGAGGCTGTTTTCCCCAGATGTCTAGTTCTGATCTGGCCTGAGTGGCCAGTGGGAGGAAATGCTGGATGAGGAGCCACCCTCTTGAGAGCTCCACCCCTAGAAAACTGTGGCTCAAAGAAGAAGCTCCACCTATTGTTAGTGGGGAGGAAAAAAATCCCACTTCTGCAACAATACGGATATAGACATAGAAAATGCATGTCAGAGATGGAAGTGACCAAGTGGATTCTGAACCAATCTCCTTGTTTCCTTAATGAAGAAACTGATACTATGAAGGTCAAATATCTTGCTCAAAATCAACACAGCTGTCAGAGGCAGAGCCAGAACTGAACCTCTACCCGCTTACAAACTAAGGTTCATCCCATTGGGTAATTTGGTTGGAAGCGTTTCACAGTGTGGCTTACCGAAGTAGGCCCTGGGGAGTCTTGCTGCCATGCTTCTCCACTCTGCACAGTTTTGTCAGTGGGAGAAGGGATAAGGGCTTCTTCATACATAGCATGGAATGATAATGCCCCTTTCAGCCAACACCTGTGGTTCGGAGCCCAACGCCATAATGCATTCCTTACCAGCTAATGTGATCTTGACTAGAAATTGCTGTTTGGCTAAGAAAGCTTACACCATCAGGACTGATCCAACCAGGTGGCCACGTCTCTCTGGCCCGTATGGAGTGCTCCCTGCACCTCACAACATGCTCCTGCTCAGGATGCTCAAGACTGACCCCTTGAAAGTGGATGTGCAGCTGTTTAAATAGCTGCCTGCCAGCCCCCATGAGTCATAGCCTCATAATTTTTCAAGGACTCAAGAATGTGTCTGCCAGCTAGCTGCAAGCTTACCTTTCCTGACTGTGGGCTTTGAAACCCTAAACATGTGGGGATTCTATTGTCAAATTCAACAAGCATGTGCTGAGTGTCTGCTCCATTCCAAGAGCTCCTGGGCAGTTTACAATGTACTAGCTATATCCTGTTGTACACCTTAATGTGCAGTGTTATTGGGTAGGCAATGTATTAGTTCTAATCTTCGTGATATATTAGCAGCAATGCCCTCCATTTTTTCAGATGGAGGAAGTGAGGCCCAGAGAAGTTAAGTAACTCATCTTTAGACAGTAGATGAAAGAAATTTGGAGAGCCTGTTTGCAAAGGATCAGAAAGTTTAAGCTTTGTTTTTTTCTTTTCTTCTCTGTAGGATACCATCAGAACTCCATTTTTTCAGATGGAGGAAGTGAGGCCCAGAGAAGTTAAGTAACTCATCTTTAGACAGTGGATGAAAGAAATTTGGAGAGCCTGTTTGCAAAGGATCAGAAAGTTTAAGCTTTGTTTTTTTCTTTTCTTCTCTGTAGGATACCATCAGAACGGAGTCATCAAAAACCAGTTTGTGCCACATCCCCACGCTCCTGGAAACCAGAGATCCAATCAGAAAAGCCTGTACACCTCCATGGCCCGCCCACCGTTGCCACGACAGCAGTCCACTGGCTCAGACCGAGTGTCACAGACACCAGAGAGCCTAGATTTCCTCAAGGTCCCAGACCAGGGTGCTGCAGGGTAAGATTCCCATATCCTGTGGGTGAAGCTGTTAAGCTCCATCTCCATCAGTCACATCATGGGTTCAGGGATTTCTTTGGGCTGTTGGTGCATGATTCTAAAGTTCAATTTTCCACCCAAATGCTAAAATCCAAGACCAAAGGCCGTGGGGCCTTTGCTGACATTTCTAAAAATGCAGCCAAGTCAAAAGCACACAACTCATTTCATTCTCCAGGGAGGGTTTACATCCTCTTCAGCCCCAAAGTTTGATTACTCTGTGCCCATTTTGGCTCTTTGGCGTGGTGGAGGAGTAATGGGATTTTTGATTTATGTCTGTGTCTGCAGTTGCACAAATACAACAGCTCAAAGAGTCTATAGCAACATTAAGAATAACATCCCAGCATTCTGTGATGTGGATGTTTGTTTAAGAATATGGATCTTCATGGCTTTAAAATGAGAGCCTTTCTGCCTTTTTAGAATAGAACATGAAGATTGGTGAATAGAACCCATACTAATTAGCCTGAGGAAGTAAAGATTCCTGAATTCTGTGTAAATAATCAAAGAGCTATCAGTGTGAAAAGGGCATTAGATATGTCCTATGGAGTCACAGGGATAGAACTAGGGCCAACTTCAAGACCAATCAATGAATTCTACCAGGAGGTAGATTTGGGTACCAGTAAAAGAAAGAACATTCTAGCAGCCTGAAGATGAACTGCCCTAGGATATAAGGGGCATGTTGTCCCTGGAAGTATTCAGGCACACCATGGATGGAAATCACAGGCAGTAACGCTGTCAAATGTCAGACAAGGGGGAAGTCAGACCTGGAAGAGAATCCTGTATCAGCTTGTATTACCTACCTAATGCTGGACCTGGTACTTACCCTCCCTGAGCTTCGGTTTCCTTGTCTGAACACTGGTGCGTTACCATCAAGCTTGCAGGGTTGGATTGTTGGGAGGACTAGAAATACTGTATTAAAAATACCTAGCATGGCACTAGGCATGTAGGAGGCTACTCAGTTAACTGTCGCTTGATGACAGTGATGGATACTGTATTAAAAATACCTAGCATGGCACTAGGCATGTAGGAGGCTACTCAGTTAACTGTCACTTGATGACAGTGATGGTGATGATGATGATGATGATGATATAACCATTATCTCTTAGTGGTTGAGCCAGTGACTTGTGAGGAATCTTCCAGCTCTGCCCGATTGTCAGTGGTGTAGTTCTGTCTGCTGCATCTGGTAATGGGCCTGCTCTAGCCCACTCTCTCACCTCTCCCCCTCCCTCATGCCCGCTCCATTTTTCATTTTCTCCATATCTAGAACAATGAAGAAGTTTCAAGTGAGGATCAAGAGACTTGTGTACAAAATAGACCCATGCTGGGAAAGAAACAACAGCTCCTTCTTCTGGGTGGGCAGCCACCCATTCACCTCCATACCCCATTATTAGATGTCTTACCTCATTTGTGCTACAGATATGAGAGCACCTTATTTTATCATACAGATGGCCATCAGTAGAGTAGATGCCACCTTTTATTAGATTTCTCTCACCCTATTTCTTCCCTTCCTTTTCCCTCTACTCTTACGCAAGTAGCTATATCCCACCAGTTCTATTGACCATGGTTTACCTGATTGGCTTGGTCTAAAGCAGTAGTTCTCAAATTCTAGTGAGCACCAGAACCTTCTGGAGAGCTTGCTGGCCCACGCCAGAGTTTCTGATTCAGTAAATCTGGGATAGGGCTCAAGAATTTACATTTATACCAAGTTCCCAGGTGATGCTGATGCTGCTGACCACATTTTATAAACTACTGGTCTAAAGGCACCTACTGTGTGATTGATAAAGCCAGGGGAGTTTCACATAAAAGTAGATTGGAAGGGTGCTCTTAAGATAATGGGATTTTTCACTCTGTAACCTAGACCTACGCTGCTCAGATGAATGAACATCACTAAAAATAATAACACAGTTCCTCCTGGGCCCAGTTTGATGTCCCAAAAAGTAGGCAGGGGATTAAAGCAATCAACAAAATGCACCAAATCTCTTAGCTCTGTCTCCTAGCTTCCTACTTGCTTTGGTTTTGGCAAGCAAAACCATCTTTCCAGCCTGCTTTGCAAGTTACAGACTTGCACAGCAGCCAGCTAGGAGCATCTGTCAGCCAAAAGCAGGCAATTTAGGAACATTGTGTCTTAACCGAGGCTGCTCCCTTCCAGCTCTCAGCTGTGTGGTTCCCTATTTAAGTCTTATCACACCCTTTGCCATCTTCTGGCCTAACGACCAAGTAAGCAGGATGCTATCTTGGAGACTGGCTGTGAGGATGGAAGGAGAGGACACCTTCACAACCATCCACCAGGCAGTAAGATGTTTCTGACTGTCTGTTGTAGGTAAAACTCTATCGTTGAGCACGCTAAGTCCAGTAGCTACAAGAATCCTCACCAGCCTCCTCTTTGTACCCATTTAAATCTGCTGTGCAGACATTTCTTAAGAAATAGTGATCTGGTCAAAATGTTACACTTTTGTTTATTATTATTCATCTTCTAAAACACATAAAGGTAAAAATTAAAAGTTTCTAAGGTGGCCAGAGACCTTGGACATGACATTTAGGGAGCCTCGTGGTTACCTAAATTTAACAGCTTCTCCTCTTTGCCAGGAAAACATGAGTTACGTTTATTCTACAAGCGCTTGTTGGAGCACACAGGAAATTCTGGAATCCCAAGCCTGTACCCATTCCCTAAACATAAGGAATCTTATATACATCACAGTTCCAAGCAGTGACCTTGAAACTTTACTATTCTGTAAAACAAGACTACCACAGTCTTTCCTTCTTGGGCTTTCACATCCTGGGTTTATCTTTTCTTTCTCTCTCCCACCCCTTAATGCACTTTTTCTATATAGACTTATTTAGCATATGCAATCATTTCTTTTGGATCATCTAATATGGATAAAATCAAATGATGTAATTAGCACCTCAAGTTAATTCAGGAAAGTCTCTATCAGTTTATTTTAGGTTCAATCAGTTGTTTTTGGAGAGAGCATGAAGCCTTCACTAAATTAATGACTACCTCAGCTTCCCAACTGGATTCTTTACCTTTGCATTGCAATATTTGTGCACCTGGTAGCTATTGTTGTTATCATACTCCAAGAAAACACTAAGAGTCACGAAGAGGGAATCATTATCTTGCAGTCCCTTAGTATAACTTTTGAAAAGTCTGAGTGAGGTTAAAGATCTTTCCTGATTCTTAAGGAAAGAGAACATGATAAGTAAGAATCATGTAAACAGTTCATTCATCTACCTTTCCTCTGACTTCATAGGAACAATTGACTTGCCAATCAAGTGTGCTTTTTAATTTTCCCTCCTGTAACTGAAATGTACATAATCTACCTGCAGTTCATTACTGGAAGTATTAAAACCCAGACTAGAAACGTCTGTTGCCCTTTTTAATCCTGTAGTCCATTTCAAGGGAGGAGAACTTCAGGAAATTTCAGGATACTCCAGAGATGAATCCAACTAGAAGTTGAGGAAACAGAAAAATATTAAAAGTGCTCAGTGGTAGGGTTTCTGGCCGTGCCACAAAGGAGAGATTGATAGAAACATTTAAATGCTGCCTGTGTGTCTCTTGTCAAGACTCTCCTAATGGAGTCATATTTTCAAGGGGCTTAAAATTTCCAACAAATGTCCAATAGCAATATTTCTCAACCCATAATCTACAGGAGCAGCAGCCGTATCCTGGCCCGGGCAGACATGGAGCTTAGGAATTCCTGGCATCCATTCCCACATTTCCAGTAATGTTTATAGATTCAACCTTTTGGAACAAAAATGTCCAATAGCAATATTTCTCAACCCATAATCTACAGGAGCAGCAGCCGTATCCTGGCCTGGGCAGACATGGAGCTTAGGAATTCCTGGCATCCATTCCCACATTTCCAGTAATGTTTATAGATTCAACCTTTTGGAACAAAGCACATTTTTAAAAGCCAATGAAATAAAGTGCCATTATTTTTCTTCTTGGAATTTCAAGACATAAATTTCACATCTGCAGAACAAAGAGGTGATATTTGAAAGCTTAATCCCAGTTCTTCCTGGCACAGACTAGGCACACCCCCCCAAGGAGGCACGGGAGCTGCAGAGACATTCACAAAAGGTGGCAGAGAACACGGGATTTGCTAATCCAAGAACTGGGTGTGAGTCCCAGTTCATTTGTTCATTCCTTTGGTTTCATTCATCAAATCGTTACGGAATCATAAAAGAGGTGATATTTGAAAGCTTAATCCCAGTTCTTCCTGGCACAGACTAGGCACACCCCCCAAGGAGGCACGGGAGCTGCAGAGACATTCACAAAAGGTGGCAGAGAGCACGGGATTTGCTAATCCAAGAACTGGGTGTGAGTCCCAGTTCATTTGTTCATTCCTTTGGTTTCATTCATCAAATCGTTACGGAATCATGTGCCTTCTATGTGCTGCCTCATGCTTGTCACTTAATCTTTCTACACCTTGGCATCTCGCCTGTATAATAGGAGTAATAATAATATAATTTCAAAATCAATTCCTCAGGGTTTTCTTGAAGATTAAGTAAGGTCTTTGTACAGGATGCTATAAAGCACAATGCAACTTGGAAGTTGTTTCGTATTTGTTTTATTATCATTGTTCATCTCCTTTGGTCTTGCAGGGAACTTTTAATATTCTACTGGGATTGAAAGGTGGGTGTCCCCTGGCTCAGTGGCTTTCTTCTTAAAATCGCAAATCTCTGGCCTACCTAGAACTCTGGACTCCATAAGGCTCTACACTTGAGACATTGCTGGACATAATGGGGAGAACTGGCAGCCCAGGGAAGCCAAGACTAGTGGACAAGACAGAGAGAAACCTTTCCCCTAACACGTACACACAATAGCTGCACCTGTTCTCTGTGGACACAGAGCACCAGCAGAACAGAGATTTGTGCAGTAATATTGCAACAGTCACTAGACACTAGAGCTTCATTTGTACAATTTAACTAAAAGTCACAAAGTCCTTCTCACTTTTTACTATTCCACAACCTCTTCCTGACTAAATATCTTTGCTCCGATCACTGTAACAACTCACCTCCCATGGAAAATGATGCACATTACCAAGGCAGAGGGAATGAACTAGCCCTCAATTTAGAGAGGGTTGTTGTCATTTGGGTTTTGTTTTCCTGTGGGCTTTTGGCATCTCATGAGATTCCACAGATGTCCACAAGGGCTCAAATGTCAGTTGGCATCTGAACATCTTGGAGCAAAGGCACCACTTGGCCTTCCCCGGTCACAGCACAGGGCTTCTCTTGCAGTGCGAGTTTTTTTTTTTTTTTCCTTTTTGTCCGGCAACGGGATCGCAACCCTCAGTGTTGCGCCCGCACCGCGATCAGCCAGTGAGCAGGAACCGGTCTCCACATGGGATCCGAACCCTCGGTGGGAGCGCCGCCGCACTCTCAAGCGGCGCACTCTCCAGTGCGCCACCGGGCCGGCCCTGCAGTGCGAGCTTTCACAGTGCAAACTGGATGTGATGTGCTTACATCACACAATGCCAGAGGCACCAGAATTACCTAACTTCTGCAGAGCCACTACAAAACAAATGTCGGCCAGGGGTTTTAGCAAGAGTGAATGTGGGTTGCCATGAGGGTAATGTGGGGACAGTGGTGTGCTGGTCTCAGTCACAGGAAAGAGCCGCCAGTGACGTCCGTGTTGCCCTAACACACCTGTTCCTAACGCAAAGTGCAGAGCTCTCATCCGGCTGCACCCACGCCCCTGCCCCTGCTCCAGCCGCGTGGAACACGCCACTCCCCAGCAAGTGACCCGCCTCGGAGCTGCCCCGGCCTCTTCCACCTCCAGCTGTAAAGTGCTGTGAACCCCATTCGGGCATATGATAAATGACCAGTTGCCAGCATGGTAGCAGTTGTCCGGGGCTTAGGACAATCAAGCCAGCTGTTGCCGTGGGTCTACACAGGATCCCAAATTCCTCAGGGAATTCCTGAGGTTAACTTTGGCCGGTAGCTACTCCTCTTGAGGAAGTAGCTTTGAGATGATCAAAGAGCATGAAGTGGCTGTGTGCACCTGGTGTTTGAATGCTCCGCCCCTGCCACCCTCTCCCCCCCCTCCTCCTCTCTGACCCCGTTCATCACCCCAGAAAGAAACCTTCCCATCAGCAGTCATTCCCCACTTCCCCAAACACCACCTCTGGCCCTAGGCAACCACTAATCTACTTTCTGTCAATATACATTAGCCTGTTCTGGACAATTCATATAAATAGAATCATGCTGCTTTTGTTAAATTTATTCCTAAGTATTATATTCTTTTTGTGTACTGTAAATGGAATCATTTTCTCAGTTTCATTTTAGGACTGTTCATTGCTAGTGCACGGCAGTACAGCTGATTTTCATATACTGATCCTGTATCCTGTAATCTTGCTGAACTCGTTTATTAGTTCTAATAGTTTTTAGTGTATTCCTTAGGATTGTTTATATGCGAGATCATTTCATCTGCAAGCAGAGGTATTTTCACTGCTTTTCCAGTCTGGGTGCCTTTTATTTTTCTCACCTAATTGCCCTGGCTAGAGTGTCCAGTGCACTGTTGACAGGAGTGGTGAGTGCTAACATCCTTGTTTTGTTCCTGTTCTTGGGGATGGAGCATTGTGTCTTTCACCAGTAAATGAGGTACACTAGGAGTATGTGGACAGAGGTCCTGCCCCCCAACCAGGGCTCATGAAGAAAGGTAGGAAGGCACCAGCATGCCCTACAGGAGGGTGCAGGGCTGGGACGTGAGCAGGGGCCACACCTGGCAGGGACTTTGTAGGCACCATGAAGGGTTTGGTCCTTTTCCCAAGACCAGAGAGAAGCTGTTAGAAGGACAAGGGGGTAACTCCCAGCATGACCCCCGAGTGGCAGACAGGATAGCCTTACCTGTCAGGGGTTCATCCGTCAGGTCTTACCCTGCCCCCACAGAGTGGGGGGCACCTTCAGCAGGAGGGACCTGCACTTAAGTCCCAGTGTTCTTGGGCTCTGGAGGCCTCATCAATCTATACTAAGTGACAGTATGGTTTCTTCCCCCGTGGACAGGAAGCTAAATTGCATCTATGAGTATTTGCATGTGTGTGTGTGTGTTCCTCCCTCCCAGGGAGTTCTAATGCCCACCCCACCCCCTTCCATTCCTTGCTGCTGAGAAATCAGATGACTTCTGGTATCCAGGCTAATGGCTTTTATTAACCAAATGCTGACACATCCCCAATACATACGGTGCCTAATTAAAAACCTGCTTGCCTGGCCAGCTTTCAGAGAAGCAAGCACTTCTCAAACAGGGAATGGGTTTTTCCAGTAGATAGGAAATGATGTCATGCTAACGATCTGTAAGATGCCTTTCCTCTGCAATAAAAGTGCTTTGTGTGTGTGTGTGGGGGGGGGGTCCTGGCCTGAGAGGAGTGGAGCTGAGTAGCCTTGAGGTTTGCTCCATCCCCCGTGGGCTGGTGGCAGAGCCCAGTCTCTGCAGATCACTGGGCTGCACCCAAGGAGCCCCACCTCTGCTGCGACATTCCTACCACTTTCTGGCAGTCAGTGCCCACCCCCTCATGATCTAACTTGTTCATCAGCACCCAGTGAGCACCTGTCATCACAGGACCTCAGCAAAGACAGTGGGCTGTGGCCTCCTGAAAGCTCAGCTCAAAACTGGGTGTGATTGTTCTTTCCAAAACTACTCCTCCCTCCTGCTTGCTTCTTTATGCTCTGCCCTTTTTTTTATATCTGCTGTCTTCTCAAGACATTTTTCTTCATGGTAGCAAAATAACAGTGGCAATTCCAGGTCAACATTTTAAAACATGTCTAAAATCTGCCTCAACTCTGAAAATTCCTTTCTTAGTCATTGGACAAAAATCCTACATTTCACTCTGATTGGAAAATTAGTCATGTGCCCATCTCTGAACCAAACTCTGTAGCAGGACAAAGGCTGTACCCTGAGTGGGTAGACGTGTCAGGGACTGCCCTGGGAAATGGGGTGAAGTTTATCCCACCTAAACTTCTTGGCTTCCTCATAATGAAAGTAGATACAATGGTCACCAGGGAGCAACCTATAATCTCCATTGTAAAAGTGGTCCATGGGGGGGGGTCCTGGCCTGAGAGGAGTGGAGCTGAGTAGCCTTGAGGTTTGCTCCATCCCCCGTGGGCTGGTGGCAGAGCCCAGTCTCTGCAGATCACTGGGCTGCACCCAAGGAGCCCCACCTCTGCTGCGACATTCCTACCACTTTCTGGCAGTCAGTGCCCACCCCCTCATGATCTAACTTGTTCATCAGCACCCAGTGAGCACCTGTCATCACAGGACCTCAGCAAAGACAGTGGGCTGTGGCCTCCTGAAAGCTCAGCTCAAAACTGGGTGTGATTGTTCTTTCCAAAACTACTCCTCCCTCCTGCTCCTGTAGGTGTTAACAGACATGGCCAGACCTAAGCCCGTCCCACTGTGTTGAGTTTCATCCCAACCCCTTTTAGAAGAAACTTTAAGCTTAAGTTCCTTTTGTAAGCAAATAAGTGTAGACTTTGGTTTTGGTCTATTCTTAAGCAAAGTGGGGGGAAAATAAATGTTTTCTATATTTCTATTTCCTTTTTTTCTTTTTTGCTAAATGCTTTTTATAAACATTTAATAAATAATTGTCTCAGATATAAATTTAAATATCTCACTAAATAGGAACAAGTTGTAGTTATATGCCTTTGAGACAATGTCTGAATGACAACTTGAGGCAGCATAGTATGTAGCAAGAATAAATTTAAAGTTAGAAGACCTAAGTTAAGTTTCTGGCACTAGAGATTTTTTTTATGATCATGACTTGGAGGAGAGGGGGTGTTACTGGCATGCAGTGGGTAGAGGCCGGGGATGCTGCTAAACACCCCGCAGTGCACAGGACAGCCCCTGCCTGCACACACACAACAAAGGATTATCCAGCCCCAAATGATGTTGAGAAACTGCTCTGGATAAACTCCTGTACAAGAATATTCACACAACAGTTTTTTGTAATAGTGAGAACTGGAACCATCCCAAATGACCATCAGCAGTGGACTGGATAAGTAAATTGGGACCATATTCATACAAGGAAATAGGATAAAGCAATCAGGTTGAGTTGAACTACCACTACGTGCAGCAACAGGGCTCGTCTCAAAAATGCTGAGTGCGTGATGGTATAATACGATTCCTTTTGTACTGTCAGAAAACAGGCAGGCTACGTATATTATTTAGGGATACTTACATGTGTGGTAAAACCACAGTGACAAGCGGCAGGATTACTCGTACAAAATGTACTGTAGTAGGGTAGTGGTTAATTCTGGTGGGGAAAGCAGTGTAGAGACGCACCTGCAGGTTTCTAAGGCATTGGCAAAGGTTTCATTTCCAGAGTTGGGGAAAGAAGGATAGATACACGTCTGTTCGTTTCATTATTTAAATGTATACATATGCTTTCTGCACTTTTGTATGGATGTGTGTTTTCCACATTTCTATGCCGGAGACACAATAATAACAGCAGCTCATGTTTATGAGGAGCTATGTGCAGCTGGTCTGGATGCAGCGGTGTTTACAACTGATTGATCGCAACCAGTTACAGATTTCTTTGTTCCTTCTCCTCTCCCACTGCTTCACTTGAGTAGCCTTAGAAAAATTAAAAAATAAAAAATATAAAAATATTTTTTAAAAAAGGAGCTATGTGCTTTTGCAAAGCCTTGTCAGGGAGGGTATTTTTGTTCTTAGAGAATGTTTAGGGGTTTATAGCGCCCACAGATGGAGCTGGATTTGAACTTGAGCAGGCCAGTGCCTGCCTCTGTGCTCCAAACCACCACACAGTGCTGCTGCCTTCTGTTGGTTCCCATCTCTCATCTGCCTCCACTCTCTCCACAGTGTCCGGAGACAAACAACCAGTCGGCCTCCCCCAGCAGGGGGCAGACCCAAGCCCCAGCCCAAGCCTAAGCCTCAGGTGCCACAGTGCAAGGCTTTGTATGCCTATGATGCTCAGGACACAGACGAACTCAGCTTCAATGCCAATGACATTATTGATATTATCAAAGAAGGTAAGTTGCTGGCTGGCTGGCTGGGACAGCCTCCTAAAGAGCATGCAGTCATATTGCTGTAAAAACTTGTTTAAACATGAAGGGAATTTATGGGCTCCTCTAACCAAAACTTGTAGAGGCAGGTGAGGCTTCAGGTTCAGTTCGATCAAGACTCCATCTTTTTTTTATTGCTTCTTTATGCTCTGCCCTTTTTTTTATATCTGCTGTCTTCTCAAGACATTTTTCTTCATGGTAGCAAAATAACAGTGGCAATTCCAGGTCAACATTTTAAAACATGTCTAAAATCTGCCTCAACTCTGAAAATTCCTTTCTTAGTCATTGGACAAAAATCCTACATTTCACTCTGATTGGAAAATTAGTCATGTGCCCATCTCTGAACCAAACTCTGTAGCAGGACAAAGGCTGTACCCTGAGTGGGTAGACGTGTCAGGGACTGCCCTGGGAAATGGGGTGAAGTTTATCCCACCTAAACTTCTTGGCTTCCTCATAATGAAAGTAGATACAATGGTCACCAGGGAGCAACCTATAATCTCCATTGTAAAAGTGGTCCATGGGATTGGCCAAGTGTTTTTTTAATTTGGTAGAGAAGATATATATATATATCATATTATATAATATATATAATATAGTTATATAGAGATAGAGCAAAAAGACATATATTATGTGATCATATAATTTGAACATATATATGTTCTATACCAAAAGATCTATATAATATATATGATTATATATATATATATAATCACACAAGTGCTTGTGGAAACAAAAAATAAAGATAACTTCTGACTTCAGATGTTAGAAAAAGCACCACGAAATGGTACTTGTGGTGAGGAGTGGGGAGAGTTCTCTGAGAGAGAGAGACAGAGACAGACAGACAGACAGAGAAGCCGTGGAGACTAGAAAGAGCAGGTCGTTTTAGGAAAACAGGTCAACCCTTGTCCAGGGAGCAGAATCCCCACAGAGATGTTATGGGAGATGAGATAAGCTGGAGATGGCCTGATGGTAGAAAGCCCTGAACGTCAGTCTTAAGATAACTTGCAGAGACAGTGGGGAACCATCATCCGAGATTTATGAGCAGAGCAAGGACGACCAGAGTGAATAGCAGTTCTTGGAAAATTTAGCTTTCAGGAGGAGGTGTCCAAGGACAGGTCCAGGAATTGTGGTTTTAACAGGTTCCTTCATCACATGAGCACACTCCGAGGACATGCCAGGTCCCTGGACCAACCTCCTCCCAAATGGCTTCTGAGTGTTGTTTTTTAATTTTCTACAGGATTTAATATTTTAAGCCATTTAGTATCCTTCCTCAAAGGTATCAGAGTAAAATTAAGTGTTGAAATAAACTCTTAGTAAACACAAACAGGATTTTTATTACCAGCTTTGTTCAGCAAAACTACTGAAAATGACCTAATAACAGGGAATTGGTTAAATAAGCTTACTGTGTTCAGTCAGTAAACTTTGATGCAAAACTTTTTTATTAAAGATAATAATATAAGAGGTACAGTATATTTATTTGTGAGGAAAGGAAAACATTAGGTGATAGATGTGGACTATACTCTCATTTTGTAAAAATATAAAGTATATATAGCTATATGTGTGTATGCAGATATATTTCTGTGTGTATGTTACAGAAAATATTTAAAGTGGTCTCCTTAAGTGTTGAATTTACAAGCAAGTATTACTTTCTTTTTCGTTTCTCAATATTTTCAAATTTTTCTAAAAATAACATGTATTAGGTATAATTAAAACAATTATATATTTGCACGTAAAATGTAGATTCCTAGAAGTTATCAAAACATGCTATCAGTTATCACTATCATTTAAACTATGTGTTGTGAATGCACAAATAGACATATAAATAGAAGAGATAGTATAGAATCCAGAAACAGATCCATGTATATATGGATCTGGGCGTTTAATATACGATAATGTGGCCTTTTAAATCAGAGAGTAAAGGATAGACAATTACTTTCCATTTTGAAAAGAAAAGAAGGGCCGGCCCGGTGGCGCATTGCTACAGTGCGCCGCTTGGGAGCGCAGCGGCGCTCCCGCCGAGTGTTTGGATCCCACATACAGACCGGTTCCCGCTCACTGGCTGAGCGAGGTGCGGACACAGCACCGAGGGTTGCGATCCCGTTGCCGGTCCCGGTCCGGTACGGGCGCGACACTGAGGGTTGCGATCCGTTGCCAGACACGAAAAAAGACAAAAATAAATAAAAAATAAATTAAAAAAAGAAAAGAAAAGAAAAGAAGAGCTCTTCCTCATTCACAAAAGAAATAATCAGATGAATTAAAAATCTAAAAATATATAATTAAATTATAGAAGTCTTAGAAGGAAAGCTAGAATATTATATTAATCTTTGGGTAGGAAAAGCCTTCCTGTGCGAGACATAAAACACAAAAAACATACATGAAAAGGCTAAACTAAAACCTTCTGTAGGGTGACAAGCACCAGGAGGAAAGTTAAATGATAGAAAACAGACCAGAAGAAAACACTTTACGCATGTAAATAGCTCCTCCACATGGATAAGGTGACAAACGATCCAGTCCAAAGGTGGGCAAGGCTGTTGAGGCAACAGATAACAGAACCTCACCAATCATCGATGAAATGCAAAGCAAAACATTTCACCTGTGACACCAGCAGAGCCTAAAATGTGACACAGTCCACATTCCCTTATCCAGCCCTTGGGGCCAGTTGAGTTTCAGAAATCAGAAGTGAGAGCCTTTAGGAAGTTTTGACAGTGTCTATTCCATACCTTATAACACTCCCCGTGGGTCCCAAGGTAAGACCTTATGATCTAACTCATTACTTCTGCCGTGAAACATAAGAGTATTCACAATTGTGGAAAGAGACATTGTAAACAAATCCACATCAGCTCATGTCACGTGTTGCCACCCAGTGAGCTACAGAAAACTTTTAATTTTCAGGACTTTCTGGATTTTGTCATTGCAATAGGAGTGTGGACTGTGATATCTGTGGTTAGTGAGGGAAATACGTACCCTTCTCCACTGTTTATTGCTGAAATAGTCTTTTGGGGAGGAAATTTAGCAGTAGTTATAAGAATTCTTAACTCCCCATGTCAAAATAATTACGTTGGATTTATTCTTCACCCTCTACAGCAAGATAAAATCCAAATAGGTAAATATTTAAATGCAAAGTAAAATATAAAAGTCCTAGAAGTGTGGGAGACTTATTTTTTAATAATATGTGTGGGAAAGAATTTCTAAAAATGATAGAAAACCAAGAAGCCATAAAATAATAGATCCATTGATTCAACTACTTAAGTATTAAAACATCATAAACAGAGTTATAAAAATGAGGGGGGACCTTTGCAAGACATAAGACAAATTCACTAATATATAAAAAATTCCTAACCAATAAGATAAAAGCCAACAACCAATAGAAAAACGGACAAATGATATGAACAGTGGGATATATGCGGCTATGGAAGAGAATACAAAAGCGCTTTTATATACTGATTTGAAACGATCTTTGATTCAAGGGTACTTCAGAAAGTTCATGGAAGAACTAATAAATAGATAATATGACTTCACGAACTTTTAGAAGACCCTTCATATATATTGTGAAGGTTTTTAAAAATACAGAGCATATACTATGCTATCATTTGTATACAAAAGGGGTAATTTTTATAAATACCTGCTTGTATATGCATGAAAAACTTCTCAAAGAATGTACAAGAAGTAGGTAATATTGTTTGCCTTCAGAAAAGGGATCTGAGTGGCTATTTTCATTGTTTATCCTTTTGTACTTTTGAAAGCTCAAAAAATAAATGTTTTAAATAAAGATAGTAGAAGGTTCATTCTCTTTGACCCAGGAATCTATCCTGTAATAGCGCTTGCACATGGGCACAGAGACACAGGGATGGACGTTTATTGCATTCATAGTGAAAAATTGGGAACAAATGTCCATCAATAAGGGAATAGTTATACAAATTTTTGTATGCATTGCAACTGCTTAAAAATGTGAGATGCAGACATGGAAAGACTATACCTATTAAGTATTGAAAAGCAAGATGCAGAATAGACAGATACAGCATGGTCTGTTTTCTGTTTGAAATGAATTTGTGTTGATAATCACACAGAAAAGTTCTGGAAGAATATACAAGGGCACTTCAAAAAGTTCGTGGAAAGATTCATATCACCTTCTTTTTTTTTTTTTCCTTTTTGTCTTTTTTACTGACTGGTAATGGGATCGCAACCCTCGGTGTCGCACCCGTACTGGGGACCGGCAACAGGATCACAACCCTCGGTGTTGCGCCCGCACCTCACTCAGCCAGTGAGCAGGAACCGGTCTCCACATGGGATCCGAACCCTCGGCGGGAGCGCCGCCACACTCCCAAGCGGCACACTCTCCAGTGCGCCACCGGGCCGGCCCTCATATCACCTTTTAATTCTATTTTACCATGAACTTTTTTCTTTTTTTTTTTTTTTTTTTTTTTTTTTTTTTTTTT